TTCACATTAATATAAAGCAATTGAAAACAGCCTGGTTTGGGTCAGGTTTACCTTAGTCAGACATCCTAGCTCTTTAGCATTTTAAAGAAGTCCAGAACAGTAGATCTGCTCAAGAAACCACATCTTTTGGTTTCTTGTCTACTGTTTGTTATCATGGTTTTTTATAGTGGATCCAAGTAAAATTAATAATTGACAACTTCAATCTTTTCTACATCTATATAGAAGCATGGAATAATTAAGTCCCACTTTCCCATTTCCTCCATGTGGTTACCATTTCCATCCATTCTTCTTAGCTATCCCTTCTGAGCGTTCTCCCTGCTGCCCTTTGAGCTCATAGGGCTGGTTTTCTAGTGAGTTCTTCCTCTCTGGTATTTTTGTCCATATTATAGGTGGACCATTAGGATAATTTCTTCTGGAAACTTTCTGGGAGCTGTTGGAAAACAGAAGTAGGTTAATACAAAGCGCGCGCGCACACACACACACACACACACATGCACACGCATACTATGATTCAATGCTTTGAATTATAGTGTTGGCAAAAAATATTTAATATGCCAGGAACTGTCAGAAGAATAAATGTGTCTTGAACATACAGCCAAAGTGGTCTTTAGAATCAAGGACGGCAAAATTTTGTCTCACATACTTTGGATATATTATCAGGAGGGACCAGTCTCTGCAGAAAAACAGACATCATGCATGGTAAAGAAGAGGATCAGCAAAAAAAAGGAAGATCTTTCATTAGATAGATTGACACCATGACTGCAGCAATGGGCTTAACATAGTAATAGTAATGAACTAGGCATAAAGCTAGACAGTGTTTTGTTCTGGTTTACAATGTGTCACTGGAAGTCACAACCAGTTCCATGACGCTGAGCAGCAATGACTTCTCCAACCACAACTCTAGGCCAACATTTCTAGGGCACATCTAGTCTTCTCCTCCTCTTTCTGTATTTGTAACTTCTTGTTGCAACAGTGAGGAACCTAGACTTACTTTGTTGTATTCATTGTTGGCAACTGGTTCTTTATAGATCATCAAGAGTAAATGTTGTCGTGGAGATGATATAGAAATTGCTCATATTAAATCCTAGAGCCTATGGATTTTAATAGGGTAGGGGTTAAAAAACTGCACTACAATCTCTAAGGCATGTGGTTTGAATCCACCAGCTGCTCTGTGGACAGATGATCTCCTCCTGTGTGATTAACTGCCTCTGAAAACCCAGTGGAGGGTCAGCTATGGGTCAGTTTCAACTTGATGGTACTTAACAACAATACCGAAATAGTAGTGATGACAACACTATTATTAGAATTTAGATTTTAGTATTTAGAAATTTTAGTATTTAGAATATTAGTATTAGAATCCTAGATGTCCCTATCACAACATAAGAAGGTACCTGTGTCATAATAAAATCTGAGTACTATATTCTTGACAAGAGTTAATATTCCACTCCATGTTAATCATATAAAATGTGTAATATTTCACCTTAATGATCCAATTCCATCACCAACTGGTAATATAAGGAGTTGATTTGCCTCTACAGTGGCTGGTGAAAAAATTGCTATTTTGTTTTGGGAATTTTATTTTCATTATAAATTCTATTAAAATTATAAAATGCTATGTATTTTTTTTTAAAAAAAAAGGCGTAAAGGAGAGGTAACAGTGACTTTAGATCTTGAGCCTTCAAGTTAACAGAAAAGGGCTCTCAAGAGGAAAATCTGCCGGAGTTCAAAGCAGTCATGACCCACTCAATAATTAGCCAAACTTACCGATTGTCTCACAACACTGGTTCTCAACTGTTTGCATAGCAAATTTCCAAAAAGCATTGCCCTAGAAGGTATGTAAATGTATTGTTATAAATCCATTCACCACTCCACAGGAGAAAAAAAAAGGCGCCAGTTTATTTCTTTAAGTATTTGCTGCCTTCAAAATCCTATACAGGACAGCTCTACTCTGTCCTACAGTGTTGCTAGGAGTTGGGATGGACTTGAAGGCAATGACTACAGCTGATTATACAGGATATTAGCAGTATTGGGCAAAAGGGATGCTGAACTTAAGAGGAGCAGTACTTACTGTGACTCTAAGGTAAAAGGAATGAGCTTAGCCATTACCCAAGGATTGCATACTTATTTAAAGATGTAAGGATCAGGGGAGCTCTGGTGGCCTAGTGGCAAGAAGCTGCAACTACAATCCCAGAGGTGCACAGTTTGAATCCACCAGATGCTCTGCCGGGGAAGGAGGGACAATCTCCTCCTGTACCAGTCAGATCTGATTTGATGGTACACGCACACAAAAATAATAAAATTATAAAAAAAGAAGATGTAAGGATCCTCTTTTGTCTGCATAATTTGTTGGCTTTGGGTATGTGTGTGTGCATAATTTGAATGCAAGTTTACGGAACAAGTTGGTTTCCTATTCATATACTTTTTGTTTTATGATCTTAGTTACAATGCCCATGCTTGTAACAACACTCTTCCTGCTTCCTCCCTTTATCAAATAAGGACTTTAAATTCAAATAATGTATAAAAATTGTTCCACTCACAAAGCAGCCAGCACTAAAGGATGGCCAAGTGTATAATACATTAGCATAAAGACTATTGCTTTGACTTTTTAAATCCTTTTAATTGAGAAGTCGCAACTGAGTCTTCTTTAAAGTGTGCTACAGACACTAATAATTGGAAAACACCTTTCAATACGGAATAGAATATTTCAAGATTTAGACCATGTAAAACAGTTAACTGACAGAAGCACCAAACATGGAAATAGCACATGTGCACACACAAAAGGAAAGGTGAATAAAGGCCTATAGTCCAGGAAAGAACAACAGATTCAGAACATTATATGAAATAAAAAATTAATTGGTTAAAAAGGACAAAGGGATATGAGTTGTTCAGACATCAAGAAAGAAGTATATTGTTAAATTGAGGGAACTGCAACTAATGCTACAGAGCAAAGGATGATACATGGATATGATGTACATAAACCACATTCCTCTGGAACAGCTATGAACTTTGATAAATGATGATAGTTATCGAAAGGCTTCAGGGCATCTGTTCATAGGGTCACTATGAGTCATGCTCTACTAAATGGCGATCAACAATAACAACAATAAATCATATTAAAGGTAAAGGCAAATGTGGTTTTAAAAGAAAGGCCAGTAGTTTAAGAGCAAAAATCAAAACTCTATTTTCTCTCTTGAGACTGTTATTACTGTATGTACTGTTGTGTTAGAACCAATTACTGTTATGTACTGTTGTGTTGGCACCAACTCATAGCTCACCCTCCAGCAGGTTTTCAAAGGCTGTAAATCATACAACAGGAGAATACTGACCCGGAGCAGGTTTTCAGAGGCAGTAAATCACTCAAGAGGAGATTAGATTAGCCATTTTTCCCCTTAGAGCAACTGGTGGATTTGAACCACATGCTTTTGGGTTGGCAGCGTCCCTCTTGATAGTTGAAAAGCCAAATGTACCATTACCAGCTTCTCTGATCTACCTTCCATGTTAGAGTACTTGAAAAATGTCTCCTTACATCCTTTGCTCTAGAATATTTATTACATTTACAGTAGCATAGGACATATAAACATGGCTGGGAATCAGGCAGTCCTCATTGAGCACCCATTCTGAGATCCATGTCAGTGGTGCTCCTGCCTGGTCCAGGTTGAAGCTAGGATCTAATCTGAGTAGTGAGCATCTGTGTAGTACTGGCTATTTAATATATTAACTAATGTTCACCCAGCATGTATATCACTTTGATGACTAAAGTGAACCTGGCTCAAGCCATGCTCTTTTATCAATTGTCTCATTTGAGTGTGAAAATTAGACAATGCAAAGGGAAGGCAGGAGAAGAATATTTTATAATTGTGGTATTGGTGAAAAAATATCAAATATACTGTGGACTGTCGAAAGAACAAAACAGATTTGTCTTAAAAGTACAACTAGAATGCTCCTTAAGAGTAAGAATGTCAAGATTTCAGCTTTTGCTACGTGAAGAAGAACCAGTCACTAGAAAGGGCATCAATATTGGCAGAGGCTCATAGAGAATGAAGGAAACCTTCAGTGAAATGAATTAATACAATAGCTGAAACAATAGAGTCAGTCACAGCAGCAGGATTCAGCAATGTTTCATTCTTTAAAATGTAAAAGTTGCTCCAAGTGGCCTTCACTTATCTGTCATTTTATCCTAAATGGCATGTTGTTGTTATGTGCCATCGAGTCACCTGCAACCCATAGCTATCATACATACAGCAGTCTGAACCAGTCCTGAGCTGTTCTGAGCCAGTCTCACTAATTCTAACATGCCAACCTCCATTGTCCCTACTCACTGTATCAATCCATGCCATCTGGGGTTTTCCTCTCCTGCGCTGTCCCTCCACCCTTCCAAGCATGATGTCCTTCTCCAAGGACCAGTCTCTCTTGACCACATGCCAAAAGTATGTGAGATGAAGCTTCAAAATTCTAGCCTCCAAGAAGAAACTTGGTTTCACCTTCTCCAAGACAACCTATTTATTTTCTTGGCAGTCCATGCTATGTTCAATACTCTTCTCCAGCACCATAATTTGAAGGCATTGATTCTTCTCCTGTCATCCTTAATCATTATCCAGCTCTCTGGTGCATAAATAATGTGTATATTCCTATAATACTGAAAGCTGTGCCATTAATATTTCAAATACCAACAGGGTTGCTCATAATTGGCATGTTTCAATGGAAATTTCATACTAACACATATTAGGAAGCAAAATTGTTGGCACACTTCTGAAAGAGTTGTCCAGGGGAAACTCTTCAAATAACAGCAGAACACTGTCTGATAAAGACAACGAGCCTTAGGTCAGAAGACATTCAAATTCCCCTGGGGGAGAGCTGCCTCCTCAAGCTAGGGTTGACCTCAGTGACATAGAAGGAGTTAAGGCTTTCAGGAACTTCATTTGCTTATGGGCCTTCATTTGATGCTGTGGCACAACTCAGAAAGAAGAGAAATAGCAGCAAATGTTATTAACAAGCAGAATATGGAGTGTATGGTGTATGAATCTAGGAAACTTGAAAGCTGTAAAAAAGAAATGGGATTCATGAAGATTAATTTTCTAGGCATTATAAATAAGATAAACACAGGTGAGAACCAGGGAGTATTTCATTACTTTACTGTGTTTTACAAAGAGTTGTGATGAGTTAGAACAGACTTGACAGTGCCCACCCCACCCCACCCCCACACACACACACACTCTGCAGCCAATTTGGTGGCAACTAACAACTACATGTAGTATGGGGAAAAGAATAGCAAAGACTCATGTATAATGCAGCTTAAAAAATTGAATGTTATAAATACTTTAAAAAGCATTTTAATAAGTAATTTTTTCAAAAGTATGCAAATACCTACAGTGGAAAGTCCCTCCACACTCCTCAGCTGTCTCTTTCACTCTGTTGTTTCTCATGTATCCTGCCAGTAAAAACATCATATAGGGATAACTATGTTTACATAGTGTTTCTCCTGTTATCAATGATGATTATACATTATACACAATATGCTTCTCCTTTTCTTTTTCACTTAATCTTTTATGTCAGCAATCTTTCTACTTCAGTGCATAAAGAACCTTCTTGGTTAAAGTGAAAAGCTGAATAATACACTTCATTGTGAGGCTGTAATTTACTTCACCTCCAAATTCTGTTGTAGTTACATGCTGTCAAATTGAAAGCAATTCATAGCTGACCCTCCAGCAGGTTTTCAGAGGTAGTAAGTTGCATGAGAGGAGACTGCTCATCTTTCCCCCATGGAGCAGCTGGTGGATTTGAACTACATGCCTTTGGATTAGCAGTGTAACTCCTTACCCAATAGGCAATTAGAGCTTATAGTAATACTATTATAAAGAACAAGTTTCCACATACCAGTTTCACAAATATATTCGGCTATAAATTATGGGAAGTAAAATTGGGTTTAAAGAGTCTGTATGTGAAGGCTGTAATACCTGTTTCATAAGCACACAGATATAGTAAAACTTGTAAGAGCCATGAGACCAGACTCCTTTGTTTCTCTATATCTCACAAGTTTTATGAACATCCAATGGACTGCCTAGAGAATAGGTCTGTCCTAGAGAGGGTGAAACCAAGCTGTCCCTTGGAGGCAAGGACTTTAAGACTACATCTCTTTGGGCATGTAGCCAGAAGGGACCCATCCTTGGACAAAGACCTCAAAGACAAAGACCTTCCCCTCCTGTGCTGTCCCTCCACCCTCCCAAGCATGATGTCCCTCTCCAAGGACCAGTCCCTCCTTACATGTCCAAAGTATGTCAGACGAAGTCTCAGAATCCTTGCCTCCAAGGAGCAGCCTGGTTTAACCCTCTCTAGGATGAATCTGTTTGTTTTCTTAGCAGTCCATGGCACCCTCAGCACACTTCTCCAACACCAAAGCTCAAAAGCATCAATTCTCCTTCTGTCCTCCCTGGACATAACAAGTGATTGCAAAGACCATGGCCTGTATCAGATGCACCTTAGTCTCCAGAGACACACCATTGCTCTTGAGTACTTTAGAGAGGTCCCTAACAGCAGACTTCCACATCACAATACATCTTTTAATTTCCTGACTGCTGGTGCCAAGAGTGTTGATTGTGGATCCAAGCAGACTAAAGCTTTGAACAATCTCAATCTCTTCGCCATCCATCCTGATGCTGCCAATTGGTCCCGTGGTGAGAATCTTTGTCTTCTTGACATTGAACCTCAATCTATATTGGAGGCTGCAGTCCTTGACCCTCTGCAGCAAGTGCTTCAGGTCCTCCTCAGTTTGAGCAAGCAGGGTTGTGTCATCTGCATAACGCAGATTGTTGATAGATCTTCCACAAATCCTGATGCTGCATTTCTCCTCATAGAGCCCAGCCTCCTGGATGATCTGTCTGCCCACAGGTTGAAAAGGTATGGAGACAGGACACATCCCTGGCGTACGTCCTTCCCAATTTTGAACCATGCAGTGTTTACCTGTTCTGTTCTGACGACTGCCTCTTGGTCCAAGTATAAGTTTCACATAGCACGATCAAGTGTTCTGGGATTCCCATTCTTCTCAGAGTCAGCCACAGTTTGTTATGGTCCACACAGTCAAACGCCTTTGCATAATCAATAAAGCACAGATAGACATTCCTGTGGTACTCCCTGCTTTCAGCCAATATCCATCTGACATTAGCTACAATATCCCTAGTACCACAACCCCTTCTAAACCCAGCCTGGACTTCTGGCAGTTCTCTGCTGATGTGCTGTTATGCATAGGGTCACTATTCTTCATAGAATTGCCTCAACAGCATATAACACAAGTTTTGTCAGTTTTCTGTCTTTGACAGGACACCTGCAGTCTCTTACTACATTCTATTCCCCAGTCTAGTTGACAATATTTTTATCTTCCTTCTCCAACAGGTTTCAGCTTAATACAAGTTCCAGCTTACACAGGTTTTTCTGTGCTTTCTAGAAATCCTGATAATAATTATAAAAAAAAGAAATTGTTATCAGCAGGTCATTTAATATTTGGACATTGTCCATGTCGTCTATATTTCCATGTTGCTGCTGTTGTTGTGAGGCTTCAAGTTGGAACCGACTCATAGCTGATCCTCCAATGGGTTTTCAGAAGCAGTAAATTGCTTAGGAATTAATTGCCCATCCTTCTCTTACAGACCAGCTGGTGGGTTCAAACCACATGCCTTTGGGATTGCAGTGCTGTTTCTTATCACTAGGCCACCAGAGCTCCCTAGTGATAATGATATTCTTGCTGTTGTTGAGTACCTTTGAGTTGAGTACAACTCATAGTGACCCTATGAACAACAGACCTAAACCCTGTCCCATCCTGTGCCATCCTCACAATCTCTTAAGTACTCAGGCCCCTTGTTGCAGTCATTGTGTCAACCCTCTTGGTTGAGGGTCTTCTTCTCTTTCACCACCCCTCAACATGCCCAAAGTATGTGAGAAGAAGCTTCATCATCTTTGCTTCCAAGGAGCACTCTGGCTACTCTTCCTCTAAGACATATCTGTTTGCTCTTTGGCCGTCCATGGGATCTCCAGCACCACAATTTAAAGGCATCAATTCTTGTTCTGTCATCCTTAGTCATCATATAGCAAGTGACTGAAAAGACCATTGCCTGAATCAGGTGCACCTCTGTCCTCAAACTGACATCATTACTCTTCAATATTTTGGAGAAGTCCCTGAATGCAGATTTTCCAAGTGCAATACATCTCCTGATCTCCTGACTCTAGTAGCAAGAGTGTACTGATTGTGGATCCTAGTAAGAGAAAGTTTGACAGTCTCAATCCTTTCCCAACCCATCATGACGCTGCCTATTGGTCCAGTGGGAAGAAGTTTTGAGTTCCTGATACAGAGATGCAATCCATATTGAAGGCTCTGGTGGTTTAGTGGTAAGAAGCTGAATTGCAATTCCAAAAGCACATGGCTTGAATCCACCAACTGCTCTGAGGGAAAGGGATGAACAATCTCTTCCTGTGCTATTTACCGCCTCTGAAAACCCTCTGACCTATGGGTCAGTCCCAGCTCAAGGGCACACAACAATAACAGTACATGAATTAATGTAGTTCTATTCCAATAGAATTTTACTTACAAGACTTGATTCTGCAGTCAAATTTAATGATCCTTAATATAGAGAACTGGCAATTAGCAGGCCTTCCTACTCCAGTCTCTAATTCTTTTGCCACTATAGTCTGCCTCTCCAAAAACAAGACTGCATCCCTCAGTTGTCTTGGCTCAAGCTTCTCACCTGAGATATGGAAGCTCCTTGGCAGAGACATACTACATTTTATTTTCCTACTTGGAACAAAAAAGCAAACTACCCAGGTAGCTGTAGACAGTCCCTAGATTCTTCTCTCTTTCAGTTGACTGGATAATTTGATTACTGCTTTAATCAGCACCTCAGCCAATGAATGCTTAAGCAACAGAGGTAAATACTGTGACTTGTCCTTACAAACATCAGAGCAATGGAACCGGCTAAGTAGGAATTTTCTCCCAGGGCATTTCCCTCCAACACAGCCCCACCCTCAGCCTTCTCCACTGCCCAGGGCAAGTCTTTGTTTACAAAATCAGTTCTTGCTCATCTCTTTAACATAAAAGAAAACCCAAGAATCAGATTTTAAATTAACAGGAAAAATAGTATACGAAACCAGGAAAGACTATGGTTATTCCTCGTGGTTAAAGGGAAATCCTGCTGTGTAATGTTAGTTGCACTAGGATCTTTGTGGCACTGGACAAGACCTCACTTTAGGGTGAGGATCAACCACCAGTCTTGGTTTGGAGCAAGTGCTTCTGGTGGTAGAGTGATGCATTGATAGTCTCCCCTCTATTTAAGAACTAAGGAGTCTCTTTGGGTTTCTTTTAAGGACCTCAGTCTAAATCAGTACCAACGAGAATATTATTTTAACTCTTTAAAATGAATGTTTTAATTCTTACCAGGCCTTGGGAGTAGATCACTTCCTGGGATTTGTAACACTTTGCATTAGGTTGCTGTTGTGATGTCCTGTTCAGCCAGAACCACTTCACAGCTGACCCTCTAGTGGGTTTTCCAGAGGCAGTAAATCCCATGGGAAGAGATTACCCATCTTTCTCCATTTTAAGCAGCTGGTAAATATGAACCTCATGCGTTTCGACTGACAACTTCTCTCCTACCAGAATATGAGTTTCATTCCTTTTGCTTCCCGGGAGAAAAGTCAGTTTTTCTTTACTGCAGAGTAGGGGTGGGGGTAGGGGTGTTGCTACATAACTGGGGGGTGGGGGGCAGGGTAAAGCCTGAAGTTCACCTACAAATCATTAATACCAGGTTGACTTTAACATTTTTGTTAAATTTTTTCTTTAGGAATCTTTTTTTCTTTTGAAGCTCAGCTATCAAAAGCTATAAATGATTAACAAGAAGGCAGTAGCATATATATCAACCCCACAATTGAAATGCTTAGCATGTTAGTTGCTCCTTTTCTTTTTTTGCCAGTTGTTGCTATTGTACCACTGAGTTAGAACCGACTCATAGCTGACCCTCCAGTGGGTTTTTGGAGGCAGTTAATCCCATAGGAGGAGACTACCTGTCTTTCTTCTACAGAGCAGCTGGTGGATTTGAACGTCATTCCTTTGGGTTTGCAGTGCAATTCCTTACCACTAAGCCACCAACACTCCCTTCTTAAGCCAGTAGCCTAAAATAGTAGGTCTGTCCTTCCCACTAGAGACAAAACACCATTGCTAGGATTTTTACCTAAAGCTTTAGGGTCTGAGTCCAATTCCAGCTATCACAAGAGTAGAACTATGTAGACTACTCACCTTACTTTCTAAATCTAACATCTCTGTTAATGTTTGTTAAAATCACAATTAAATAAAATTTTCTTTTTTAAAAAAAACCCAACTCAACTGAGAGTTTCTAGTGGAAAAAAAGTAAGTATAATCAGATCATCTGGCTATAATGGTAGAATGAAATAAATTGAACTACTTTATATTAGTGTGTCAGACAAAACCTGTTTTGATTGAAGAAGTTTACCCATCTATTCTTTCAACAAGCATGTCTTGAGCACTACTGTTTGCTATATATTACTGTTAGGTAATATACTGAATTCAAGGGAGCTGTTGTGACCTAGGGAGTATTTTATGAAGCTATTAATTAAAAGGTCATTCCTCTAGGTCGTATAGCCCTGGTGTACAAGTTGCTGTACAGCGGTCACTTGTGGTTGTTGTGAGGCTGAACACTGTGACACTGATGTGTCAAATGCATTAATGGCTGCTTACCCAATGCTGACAGAGAGTGGGGTGGAGCTCCCAGATTAAAACAAGCTTGGAAGGAGGAGTGGCATCCACTTCCGTAATAGCTTGCCTCCGGAAACCCTATGAACCTGGAGAGAGGATGACAGACACCCAAGTGTTGAGGACTTTCCTTCATAGGGTCACTATGAGTCGCCTGCGACTCAATGACACTTAACAACAACAAAAATTAAAAGGTCAGCTGTTTAAATCCACCAGGTGCCTTTTAAGAGAAAGATGAGCAAGCTCCTGTCAAGATTTACTGCCTAAGAAACCAGATGGAGGGTTGTGTCTGCATTGACTCAACAGCAGTGGTAGCACTTGGATGTACTTTCTGAGGATCTTCCACAAGCTTGGAATCTGGGGTTTTCTCCCAATGAGCTCCTGAGAGAAGTTTGGTCCTGGTTATGAGACTAGTGATGATAGTCCAAGTATCCCCAGAGAAAGTGTCTTAACATGCTTCAAATATTTTCATCTCTTCCCTTTCATTTACACTTTGCAGGCAGCATCACGTGCCCTAGGCCTGTGTCTGTTGAGCATGCAGACATCCGGGTCAAGAACTACAGTTTGAGTTCCAGGGAGCGCTATACTTGTAACTCTGGCTTCAAACGTAAAGCTGGGACATCCAGCCTGACTGAATGTGTGCTTGATGAGACCACGAACACCGCACACTGGACCACTCCCAATCTCAAGTGCATCAGTAAGTAGACGATTCTACAATCTTGAAGTGGGCTTGCAAGGTGAAAATCTGAATGGGTAGATCTCAGAGAGCAGAGAGTGATCAATTCCAAGGTCTGAGGTTAAAAAAAAAACCAGTGGGACACTAAACACCACCTTCTGAGGCTGAAAAAGAAATACAATTGGGACCATATAATTTGAGGTTCAAATTCTAGCTCAGTACATACCAACTATCAGACCCCAGCAAGGAGCTTAACGTTGAGCTTCTCGTTCCTCATCTAGAAAATGGACCCTATCAGTTGTAGGACGGTTAAGTGAAACCTGGTTAGTGGGAACTCTCCTTTTCAAGGCTTTGTTTCAAGATTGTGGCGGCAAGAATTTGCTACAGTGCATGTTTACTTCCCAGAGAGTTTTTCAGAGTTTACTTGGAAACAGACTGCAAGGCAATGGTTGCTGTTCTTCTCCTCTGATACTCAACACAGAAGGCTGGTGTGGACGCAGGGGTCAGAGTTTCCCTCGGGTTAGACACATCTGGTTGGTGGGCGCCCAGCCAGCACTCAAGAGCAGCCCGACTTTGCCCCCACCACTCACAACTGGATGACTGTCTGAGAAGAAACCCGGCAATCCTGTGGTGGCAGTAGTGGCTTTGTACTATTTCAAGGAATGTTAACCTCACGTCTACTCTCCGTCTTCCTTACTCCTTAGGGGGGAAAAGAAATAAAATTAATTTCTTGGTCTTATAAGAAAATTTTGATTTAACAAACATTTTTATGTATTACAAGGGTGCTCTGGTTGCCTAATCCACAGTTGTGCTGCTAACCCAAGGTCCGTACCTCTGTAGAAGTTCAAATCTACTCGTAGCCCCTCAGAAGAAAGATGGTCAGTCTCCTTCCATGTAGTTTATTTATAGCCTCTGCAGTCCAATGTGGGGCTCATCCATGAATCAGTTCCAATTCAATGACAATGCATCTTGGAACATTTTAGTTTGTATTCAGCAGCAAGCTAGGTAGTTTTCATATGGCATTTATGAATGTTCTTAACTCCTTTTTGAGGGGAAGGGGGTACAAAGGGTCATCCTATAGGAAACACCCAGTGTTGTGGGACTTACTGAAAAGCCAGAATTTCTAGTGCTTAGAGGACATGAGGGGGCTCTCTGGTGGCCTAACATATAAAGTGTTGCACTGCCCACCCAAAGGCAGACACTTCAAATCCACGAGCTGCTCCATGGGGAAAAAATCAGCAATCTCCTTCCCTGCAATCTACAACCTCTGAAAACGCACTGGAGGGTCAGCAATGGGTCAGTTTGGACTCAACAGCAATGGGTGAGCTTTTTAGTAGATTTCACTTCTATCCTCCTGTCTTATTGATGGATAACAGTCACACAAACATCGGGGGGGGGGGGGGAGAGAATGAAGTACTCTCAATGATTGCAGAGGAATCATTGCCATGGACCAAGACGTCGTCAAAGTATTATGCTGGGCACGGACTGGCATGAGCAGCAGCAATGGAGAGAGAACAGAGAATGGAAACCTTACTTTCTCCAGCCCCAGGACTCATCAGAACCCAAAATAGAGGATAAAAATAAGGACTTCTTTGCTATAGAGACAATTAATACAGTCAAGTACCACATAGTTCTCATTTAATCAATGTCTGGCAACATATGCATCCATGGTCCAACTTCTTTAAAGTCTATTTATTATGTGAAAATATTGAGGTGCATATAATGGTTCCAAGTAACAAACAGGCACTGCTTTGTGTCCTACATCAAAACATTATTATTACTATGAAGTTGTTAAAGATGTTTTTAGTGTATCTAGAAATATTTTATGTTTTTATGCATAAGAAAGATACACTCTATGCTACTACAAACATTTGATGAACTGATATTAGATGGGAGGTATACCAGACTGCTCTGACTTATGTACAAGTTCAATTTAAAGACAGATTTAGAATAACACTCCTTCGTAATCCAAACACCGTCTGTATATGATACGATATTTGTAAACTGCACAAATCACATAACAACCTATTTCACAAAACATTTCTTAGACATTAAACAACGTTTGACTATATTCTTCTCAAATTCCAAATTATTTTGGTGAACAAAATCTGGGAATGGGGGTGAATAGACAGGAAGAGGGAGAGGGGGCGGAAATAAAAAAAAATGGGAGACTTGAAATTCTAAAATTTTGGAAGTCAAAAATTAGAAAAATATTTAAATATACCTTTTTATTAACAATTCCCTTCTATGTTTGTTTTTTTAATCTCTCATCTATTCAGTTTGCTTTTTTGCTAAATATATCTGATAAGTCTTTTCTCATGGGAAACCCAGTATTATAAAACTGAACTAATAAAGTTCTGTTATTTTTTTAAATGTAATATTTAAATGTGCAGTCTTTTTAAAGGAGTTCTGGCGGTGCACCACTTAAAAGGCTCTGCTGCTAATTAAAAGGTCAGTGGTTTGAGCCACTGCTCTGCAGTAGAAAGGTGTGTTGGTCAATCTACTGCCATAGAGACTTCGGATTTGGGAACCCCATGGGGCATTTCTACTCTATCATAAGAAGTTACTGTTTTGGGGTTTGTGGGTTTGGTTGTGTGGGGCAGGAGGAGGGAGTACAATTTTTGTGGTTGCTATAAAAATCTTTTTAAGCTTATCTTGGCATTCATGTGGGAAATGCAGGCTGGGAAACACTGATTCTGGCTTATTTCCTGTGTTTCTTGCTTCTGCAAGGAAGCTAGGTATCTATCTATAGTATAAATTCATTGGTTCACTTACCCATCCAGTTTGAAACCCTCTCTAGGTCCCATCCTCAGGATCATAAACGCCATGTGGTTATCCTCTCTCTAGGAGATCCCTCCCTGACTCACCAAATGCCTGTGTCACCCTCCACTGTACCCACAACAAGGGTGACCGCACAACCAGAGAGCCTCACCCCTTCTAGAAAAGGTAGGAATGCTGGAAACTTTTTAAGGACTCCTAGTGACTACTGTTGTACATAGGTTGTACATAGGGTTTTCAGAGGTCTGCTATTTCGGAAGTGGTCTTATTTCTTATTTCTTCCTAGTGTGTCTTAATCTGAATGTTCAGATTTAGAGAAATATCCAACAGACAAGTGCAATCTGGGATGCTCTTTAGAGCAAAGGCAGTGAGACTCTGTCTCGCGTGCTTTGAGCCAGTCGTGAGGAGGGGCCAGCCCCTGGTGATGGAGGTCACACGTGGGAGGGTGGGAGGTCAGAGAAGATGAAGGACTTCAACGGGATGGGTTGGCAGAGCGGCTGCAACAACGGGTTTAAGCACAGGTGGTGAGGGGGGTGCAGACGGTACAAGCTTTGGCCTGTCATGTGTACGGTCACTAATGAATGAGTTGGAGTCAACTCATTACCATGACGCAACAACGATACCAGGTTCCCACAAATCACTCCAACTTATAGACCACTGTTGGAATTCCACTGCCAACGAAATAACAGGAGGTATATTTTATTAATGTCAGGAATAAGAGTTTACGTTGGTTTAATTTTCTTAAAAATCAGTTATGATATCAGATCCGATTTAGACGTAGACAGTTAACTTGTCAGGAATCAAGGAGACCAACACTGCACATTTTTTGCATATTAACCTGCCACAGCTACATGAAAGCCACCAGACCACACAGGCATGGCCAGACTAGAGACCAAGACCGTCATCACGCACAACAGGAAATGGCAAGAACACCTGCATATTTTCACCAATTGCCTTTATCCCCAAGTTCACCTGGGCGGTGTGAACCGCCCCAGATGGGTGCCTGCACACTCAGGGAGCTGCCCTGTAGGAGTCCCACGCTTAGGGAGTCTGAGTCTTTTCTAATTAGCAATAAAACAGAATCTACCCTTTGTCCCAGAGACAATTCCCTCTTTCCTGCAAGGCCAAGTTTGCTCTCTGGATATCCCTGAACAGACAGTCCAGAGCGAGGGCAGTCAATGCCTCTGCTCACACATGTCCACAGATGTGAGATGCCTAAGGGGAACTGGTTCCTAATCATGCTAAGAATTGGCAAACAATGATTGCTCTATTATAGAAGCAGTAATTCTAGTACAGATGCAGTGATTTTAACTGAATCTTTGGCAATCCTCTATCCCAAAGCCCTCAGCACTATCCAGTGTTAATTCTAATCTTGGATGATAATTATCTTGACATGATCTGCTCTATATCCTGTCATCACCTTACTTTGCATTTAACTTCCAACTTTTTTTTAGTAGCATGTTATTCTGTTTGTTGCTCATTCTGGCCCTTGTCCCCTCCCTCCCTTCCTTCCAATAGAGGTGCCTTTTCCACTCTCTGTGGTCCTCCATCTCACCTTCCCTAGAGCAGTGCTTCCCAACTGTGGATGCAATGCACATTGACAAAACTTTGGAACTCTTAAGTGGTCAATGCAACAATCTGGGAGTCCAGATTTTTTAAAGCTTCTCAAGTGATCACAAAGTAACCAATATTGAGAACCACTGCTTGAGGGAAGGTGAGAAGGCTAAAAATCGGTTTTCTCCTAGCCTTTGCTACAAACAGGAGGAGGAAAAGTTTGAGGTTCTAGCTAGGTTTAAGTTTGGAACAATTCCAAAAATTTCTTTGATCTGAATCCCACATGGGATCCCCCAATGGATGAGAGCCATCAGATAGCCTCCCACAGCCCTGTCTTCATGTCTTGGTGAGATATGTCCGTCATTAAGACAAAACTACAGCCTCAGATCAGAGGGCCATTTGGCCCAGGGTGATCTGACCACTAGCACTTTGGTGCAAGTACACGACTGGGTGACCGCTGTCTACAGAGTGTCCCAGAATGCTGGAAGCTTGGGTTGAGACTAGGAAGTGGCAGTGGCAGAGGAACAAAGACTACAAGGACTTCTCACAGTGTCTGTGGTTAGGAGATCATGGGAATGTGACCCCAAATAGTGCAGCCAGAGAGGGGAAGATACGCGGCATCCCAGTGGTCCTTTGCTCAAGTATTCTGCTCCATGATGCATTTTCTAAGTACTAGATTTATCACATCAAAAGATCCACTTTTCATGGAGGGGGGGGATTATTCCACCCTTCAAGTGGCATATAATCCAACCATTATAGACAAGGAAGATGGGTACCTGAAGACAAGGCAGGGCTCCTAAGACTGGATGGAGCGAGATCAGGCTGCGTTCCCGAACACAGCCCCCTCGCTAAGATAAGCTAAAGTTGGCTGCTGCTTATTTCCATGTTTCAGAAAAGCTATAAAATTGGCATCTTAGGTGACTTTGGCAAAATATCATTACCCTTGTTTTTTGAGATCTTTGGGGTCTTTTCTTGTCATATCTGCAAGTTCTGTAAAGTACATGAAAGTCCCACAGGCATTCTAGGTAGATAAATGTGTACCTATTTAGGGAATTAAAAAAAAAACAACAAACAACAAACCTAGTGTCTGGGATTGGGCTGGACAGAGCTGGATTCATCCCAATATATCTTTAAGCACACCCTCCTCTGAAGTCTCTATTAAAAATATTTATCTTCCCCATATGTTGGAATTCCCCGCAGAGCCAGAAGCGTCCACTCCCAAGTCAGACACCACAGTGACCACAGAGACAGCTATTGGACCGGGCTCCAGGCTGCTGCCATCAGAACCACCTTCTGCAGGAACGACAGGCATAGTCAGGAACGGGTCCTCCCCAGCCCCACCTCAGACAGCAGCAAAGACTTTGGAACCAATTCTCCCTGCTTCCCACGCGACACCAGGTCAGCACACTAGCTTTGCACACTTGAGAGGCCAATTCCTCAAGTGCTGCCTCTAGGATCTGGGTGGAGTTGTAGGGCAAGTTCATTTTATAGCTTCCTTCAACCCCATGTCATGACTAACTCAGCTACCCTTTGCCTTTTGATCTCTGACACAGCCCCCTTGTTCTGGTCTGTATGTTCTACCACGCCTTAGTCCAGCTGAAAAATAAGTCCATCTCCCAGAGGTGACAAGACTAACCTTCCAGCCTGAATGGGCAAAGTCTAGGCCAAGGATCTAAACATCATCTGCAACTTCCCCATAGGGATGGAGGAAGTTTTCCATAGTGTGGAGGCATGATCTCAGGATCTTGATAATCTGATCTTCTCGAATGGCACTTCTGATTCTTAAATTTGGCCCACAATAAGGAACATTGCTGATTCTTTGCTAAAGCAAGTTGAATTGTGTCAGCTGTGTGTCTCTCCAGGTTTCAAGGTGGAAGCCAACTGACAAGAATTTACCTCCTGAATGGGACTTTAGTGTCTTTGGGACTGTGGGCATAATTGAGCTGTAATCTCTTTCCAGCAGATGCTTCTTCAGGCAATGCCACCACTGTCACTGGTACCTCCACAGCTATCTCTGGTAAGTATTTTTCCTTGTCTGGCAGCATTTATGATGAGGGTAGCTATGGTGCTAGTCTGTGGACCAGTCTTGAATTACACCTGCTGTCCCAGCATGACCATTGATAGCATTCCTTTTCACTCTTAAGGGAAAGCATCTCAGTTTAGATAATGAACTACATGATCACCCTACTTATGAAGTTCATTATTTAGCATGATTACTTATTATAATACAGAGGGTTTCTCTTAGGCTACTGGAGTTGAAACCAGAGATCTGACACCATACACCGTCCAGTGACTCACAGTTCTACCAAGCAGGCCTAGACTCCTGTCTGGAGCATACCGGGACACCACGCGTGAATGCTGCTGTGATTAGAATGATCCTGGTCTGCCGTCTGCTGAGTGAATATTTCAAGGGGTATTATGACCACGTACTTTATAGTGAGGCTGTTTAACTTTCTCAATTTGAACGACTTGCTTTTAGGGAAGTCACATACACATACAACACTAAGGCTAGGTAAGAAAAAATGAATGCCAGAGTATCAGAAGGAAGATGGCAAAGTGTATTCAAGAATGAAAGGAGAAGAGAGCTCACAGAAGAGTAATTAGAAAAACAGTAGGGGCAAAGAAATGTGTGCACTGTCAAAGAAGCTAAGACTTTGGTCTGAGAAACTTCAGGACTCACTCATTACCATCAAGTGGGAACCGACTCATTGCTAAAAGTGTCCAGTGAGTTTTGAGAGGCTGTTAATTTTATGGGAGGAGATTGCCCGTCTTTTCCCCATGGAGCAGCTGGTAGAGTTGAACCACTTGTCTTTGAATTGACAGTGCAACTCCTTACTAAGGAACAAAAACAACAACAAAAATAAACTTAGTAGAATTGTAATGTGATATGGAGGAAAACTATCTCTATTTCATATGAATACATTTTTTGCTGTGACTTCATTTCTTCTGCATCAGGTATCATCTGGGAAAACACAAAATGGCTTTGGTAATTTTGGCAGTTATTTGTTTAGACTGGTTTAAGAAATGATGGAGACACACAAAATCATATTTTAAAAATATTCTTTTGGGGTTATTTTAATGGAAAAACTAGCACTTAGGCGAGATTTCATGGCCTAGTGACAAGAAGCTG